ATTAATTAAAGCATCTTGAACTCTAGATTTGACATGTTTATACTCACATCGAGCATCTCAGTAAGAGGAATCCAATGAACTTAAGATTTCTCAATTCTGATATCATTAAGACATTCCAATAATTAAAATAATTATTTATGAGCAAGGGGGTCAATAGGGATCATCTGATGGGGTGGTTAGTGATTTATGCATCAAAAGACTAAAATGCTCCTTCCCGAAAGGCTATAAATAGTCCCTCTCTCTTTACTTGAGATGGGGTGAATTACAGAGCATGTGTTGAAGAGAATACCTGACAATAACCACTAGTCTCTGTAGCCACCGATCATTGTCGATCGTCACTCCGTGCCGCCGCAGACTACCGGCGTTTGATGACCCCTGTTTGCAACTATTACATTCTAAATACGATTGTTGTGTCTAACATTTGTATTGAAGACCCAACGAATAACCACCTACCTCGATAACCATCGACCATTACCGGTCGTCAACGCCTGTCGTCAACGACCACCAGTCTCTGGCGACCCCTACTTGCAACCGTTATAATCCAAATATGGTTGTTGTGTCTAACATTTGTATTTTCTTTGTTTTGTATAAAGACAAAGGCCATTTAGTTTTAGTGTAAGTTTGCAATCTCGTTCATCCTATTGCAGGAGATAGGTGCGTCACTTTACCCACTAACACATAGTGAATTACTTTGACTGGGCTAGACAACGTGATTTTTTTCTTTCACGCTGCAGCTGTGAATTTTTCCGCATGCAATAAGCCTCAATTTAAAACTTTTGTTGACGTCTCAATGTAAAATTGGAAGATTTACATGCTTAAACCATATAAATATAATTTTAATGAAAACTTGTCAAATAAGAGGAGGTTAATGAGATTTTATGGTCCATAGTAAAAGAAGTTACAACTACAAGATGTTTTAAGTAATGGAGCTCACGAGTCGGACAAAGAGCAAAAGGAAAAGCAGTGAGATAGATGATGTTAGGTAAGACAATGATGATTATTAAAGATTTGTATTTTACTCTTTTTCAATTTTCTTTTTAAAAAATAATAAAAAATAACAAGTTACTTATGCCTAAATAAAATATAACTCTCTATTTGTTTGTTATAGATATTATAATTAATGTATATGATGTTGCATGCACTTCACATGCTTTATAAGTTAACAATTTGCTATTGGATTATTTATAAGGCTTGAGTTGCATTATATATGCAGGATTGATGTGGTTGTGCAGGTTACTAAAAATCATTTGCTTGGAAAGCCTTAGCGACTACAATGAATCACAAAATCTCAATGAGCATTAGGATAACAATTAGCTGAGATCTCAAAACAGCACAAGCCAATCAATCATTGGCATTATTTAAAGTTTTTGGTTGAAAGTTATATATTGTCTGATTTTTTTATCACATAATTTGTTACTCCTATATCATTCTTGTAAGAAGTGCTTATAGTGATTATTCAAGCGATCGATCAAGTAGCTATTAATTACTTTTAGTGATTGATAAATATGATTCTACATAAAAACTAGCAACTTTTCTATGATAACGAATTCTTATTTATGCGAGCATTATATGGCTCAGAGAGAGCTTAATACTAGAATAAATTAAATCATTAGTCATAAATTCAAATTTAACTTTTCATAAATTAGTTGATGTTTTGTTTTATTTCCATAGACATACGTTAATTCTATGAATGTATCTAAAGCACCCAATAAAAAAGATTTGTTGTCTGAATGCAAGTTACCTCGTCTTGTTTGATACCAATAAGGAATACTTTTTTTTCTCAAATTATGGTTATCAATAATATAGTCTTGAACTACAACTCTAACTCCCTGGATGCAAGTGTCAAATTTAAATGCTAAGAACCAACATAAACTAATGAAACTTAATTAGGTTAAATTTATTCTAGCTAAACCACTTTAAATTTGGACAAACTTGAGCCTCAAAATTAGTTATTCAAGGCATATATCAATGGTTGGATCATGATTGTTTGTATTAGAAGAACTTTCAAATTTCCAATGCACAATGCATAAAACCAAGTAAGTGAATTAATTAATGGCTTTGAAAAATTGATTTATTTTGAACATTTCAATCTTGCTCACCTCCCTAACTAATTTAAGGAATTAATAGTTGTCAAAATTGGCGAAGATATGCCGCAGTAGGGATATAAAAGTTTAATCGTAGATGCACATTTAAGTATAATGATAAAATTTTAGTGTTGAACTTAAATATGTACAATGCTTGGATATGAATTAAATTAAATTAAATTTATTTCCAAGAACTCAAAAGAAAAAGAGAAGTGCTATACTTCCTATTTTAAAACAAGTTATATGACATTTAATTGATAAATAAATGCATTGATTTAGTGTAATTAGATGATCTTATTTTAATTAATTCACTTAAAGAAGTTAAATCCCCAAAAAAATTTTCATTTGTTTAAGGAAATATGAGTGTGGCCAAATAAGAATATGTTACATAAAATTTTATAAAATTATTTTTATTATAATATAATTATATTTAACTTATAGAAATAAATAGGAAGGCGATGTTTTCTTATGTTTGTGCTTGAATTTTTAGCTCATTACTTGGAAGAAATAAAATCAAACGTGTTTCAACACCCCCTTCTATGAAAACTATTGCATCAGGACTCCTGATACAGTTTTGTATTAGGAGTCCAATAAATGCTTGTCACGTGTACGACAGACCCACACATGTTGCAGATTCAATTTTTTTTTCTTACATGTGTGGGTCGATCTATACACGTGGCAGACCCTTATTGGACTCATGATGCAAAACAACATCAAGAGTCATGATGTAATATTTTCTCTCAACGAAAAAATATTATATATTGCACAACAAATAAATTATTTTTTTTTATCTACAATATAGAGATTAATATTCAAACTAAATAGGGGAACTTACATACAAGCCACCCAATTCTTATGTATTTACATATCAACATTGAAATTTTACTTTTTTACATTAACACTCTAAAATTGTCATATCACTTAAAAAAATATCATCATTTTAACTTTTTAATAATTTTCAATAACTAAAATGGTATGTATGTAAAACATTTGAAATCTAAGGGTTAATTATGTAAATACATAAGAATATAACACTATGCATGTAAATCTTTCAGAATAAATAACCCAAAACATCTGCACGTTTATTGATGAAGATTGCGGGCGGCCATCCATCAGTCGCTTTATGAAGCGCGGGCCAGATTGCACCACTCGTACCAAACAGGATCGCCGCCGGCATGTTTTTCTGCCATCGAAAGCACCTACACGCCACGTGCCCCCAAATCCACGTGGCAAGTCCACTTCATCGAAACCGATGCCCACGTCTTCCTGCCGCAAACCAACCATTTAACGTCGATGCAATGCTCCGCTCTGCTCCGTTACTGGTTCCGCTGTCCCACAACACAATTTAACTAATCGTGAACCCAATATCTAGGCTCGTAGTAAAATCATAAAGCTTTGATTTTGATTTCGGTTTTATCGAAAGTTTTAATTTTTATGGGTTTGATAGCTTTAATAGTTTCTATGCTTAGTTTCTGATTGCTTTTTATTTTTATTTTTATTTTTTTTGGGTTAATTACATGTAATAACACCAGAAACATTCCAATTTACAAAGCAAGCACCTTTTTTTCATCCATTTTTCAAATTCTTAATCACATATGAAAATTCATCACAAAATCTCAACCCTTATTTTTTTATTTTTATCAAATTATAATTGATTGGATCAACTAAATGAGAAAAAAAATATTACATTAGGACTCTGCACGTAGAGCTACGTGCGGGTCCAATGAAATTACTTCGTGGAGGTGATAAGCCCGGTAACACGAGGGAATATTCCCCTCGTGTTATTCAGGTGTTATTGTGTGTTATTCAAATATTTTTGATGTGTTATTGTGTTATTGTTATTATAACACCGGGGTTATTATAACACCGGGAATATTCCCAGAATACAATAACACTTGAATAACATACAATAACACCTGAATAACACACAATAACACCTGAATATCATAAGGGGAATATTCGCTCGTGTTACCGGGCCGATCACCTCCATGACGTAATTTCATTGAACTCCGCACGTAGCTTTACGTGCGGAGTCCTGATGTAATATTTTTTCGGTTGTTTAAAAAATCACATAGATGTTAAATTTGTAAATAACAATGTTTAGGATGTTATGTATGTAATTATCTAAAAAAAGGATTATTTACATAAATAACATCTGAAACATTACAAATTTAGCATCCTCTTTCATTTATATTTCAAATTCTCACTCAAATAGCAAAATTTACGACAAAACCCCTTTATTGTATTTAACTCTTATGAAATTCTCAATGATCTGATCATTGCACAAATACATCAGTTCAATAGTTTAATATTTCGAGTGGTATGTATGTAATAATCTTTTTTTTTTATTTATTATTACCATTCAGCCATTTCATGTGGGGGCTCGCTTTCTTCTTTCAGCTGTGCAAGAGCACAATGCAGAAAGGCTTGGAACCTGATGATTTGACTAGTTTCCTCTTTCAAACATTATTACTCAATTACTTCATTTTTGTTGTTTTGCTGCAAATTTTGTTTTTTTTCCCCCTAATAATCTGTTGTGATTCTCACATCATCATGAATTAGTTTTTTAATCAGCCATTTATATTTACCCTCCGAGGTTTAGCCTTTAGGTATACACAGTATTATCTTATTTCATTTGTGTTCAGACACACTAAAATAGTAGTAATAAAACAAATTAATTAGATAGACTGTAGCTGCTTAAAGCAAGACCCAAATTTTGAGGGAACATCATTCCTTAAAAGAGCTGACAACTCCATTAAAATAAGAGTTTAAACCTCAACTTACAACAAAGTCTGTCAAATTCAAATATTTAATTTTGCCAAGAAAAAGAAAATTGAAAAATTGATTCATGTGAAGCATGAGCCAATGGCATATATAATGGACTCAGTCTTAAACTTTAAACAAACACTATCTAGCTCTCTTCTTTCTTCCTAACACCTACTTCTCCTATACTCTCTTCATCAAACATCTTCCTTTTCAGCTAGAAAATCTTTACAGAAAGCAGAGATCAAGGTTTATAAGCAAATGAGGCCTGCCATGTCAGTAGTCAGCCTCCTTTTACTTTTCCTCTTAGTCAACACAACTAAAGGTTACCATTCCATCACAAAAAGCTGCAACACTTTCTTTAATTGTAAATCTTCATAGAAGTAATGAAGCAGAGCTGATAATTTCTATTGTTTTTTTCCTTCTTCTTTCAGGCATTCGCTTGATGCAGCACTCTTCAGAATCCATCCAGAGGGTTAGAACTCATGAAATTTTATATGGGAAAGCTTTTGTTTGATTTTATGATTCATAAGGTTTATTTGTTTGGTTGGTTATGTGCATCAGGAGGCTGATGTCAGAGGAAGTTTAGAAGAAGAGGCAGAAGTTTGCAGAGAGGGAGAAGCTTGCCCAGGTACTTTAAATGAGATGAGGAGGTCTTTTAGTGAACTGAAGGCACTGCAGCACAGGCTGCCTGGGTTTCATGAAGATTATGTTGGGCCTAAGAAACACAATGCTAAGCACCATTGAAAGTTTCAAAAATCTATTTTTCTTTAGTTAGAATTTTTTTTAAAAAAATTACTTCAAGAACAAACTACTGTTTCTAGATGTTGAGCTTTACAGTTTGTTGAAGCAATTTTGCTTTTTGTACTCAAAGTGGAAAATTTAGTCATATGAGCCCTGCTAATTAAGGACTAATAAGAATCTCTGTCTCTTTGTGTGGGTGTGTGTGTGTGGGTGTCATAGCTTTATTTATTTCACAATAGATTGATATATTTTGGGGTGTATAAAAGTTAAGTTTGGAGAAGCAGTCGTTTTCAATTAATGGAGAAAATATTATTTCTAGAATGTTGGTCCAGATGGCATCGTGAATTGCATCTCACCATTGTGCACAGTAATATGATGTAATTCATGCTCTCATCTGAACATTCAGATGACACAAGTAATATTTCATCCAGATCATGAGCAGTTAGATTGCAGGGACATGACTACTAAAACACTAAACTGACAGGACTTAGCTTCTGGCACTAGTTTATACAACTTTTAATGTTAATATAATAACAATACTTTATGACAGAATTATACAAATTTATACACTAAAAAATCACGAGCTATATATGAATTCTCAATCTTCTAGTCAAAGGTAATATTTAACATTTTGCATTGTAAATCTCTAAACGAGCTCTGCTTTTTGCTATTAATGCAGGGTGGAATAATAGAAAAGTGCTGATGATAAAGGGAAGAGAGGCCATGGCCTCAACACAAGAGGTTTGTGTAAATAATTGATTTGCTAACTAATTACTCAAGTAATAAGCTGAAATTAAGAAAGTACTTAATGGCAATCCACAGATCACAAGCATGAAGGTAATCAAGGACAGCGCTGCTCAGACTTCGCCGGAATCCTACCCCGACATATACGACATCGCCGGAATGGATTATTCTCCGGCTAAGAAAAAATCTCCAATCCACAACTAAAGGAAGTATGAATAAAACAAAGATTTTTACTGATGAGTAGTGCAGATTAATATATAGAGTAGTAGGACTTTGGGCAGCAGCAGGATACTGAAAATGCTGCAGTTTTTTAGGGCTCATAACCCCATTTTGTGAAGAAACTGTAACTTTAGAGCTTAAAATATGTTATATCATTTATTATTTTTATATGATTTGTTTGGGGGTTGATGATTGAGTACTTGATGGCATGTTTTGCATGCACCTTGTAAGGTAGGACCCTTATGTTATGTTGGTTCTGAGACTGTTTTCTCGAGCCTGTAGTAGTGCTGCGTCAATTAAGTACCGTAGTTGGCATTAAAAGTTGCACAGGGAAGGAGAGAGGTTCTCTTGTGACTGTTTTTTTAACAAATTGATGTAGTTAGCAGTATGGTGCTGGAAAAATCCTGTTTAACAATCTGGTATGACTAAAAATTATAAATGCTACGAAACTACAGTTTGTCTTTTTGAAAAAAAAAAAAAAATGAATAACTATAGCAGCTTCTTAAAAAGTAGTAGTTTCTTCTACAATAACTTTAAATTTGCTTCTTCAAATAGCTGCAGTTACCCCAAACAAACACTTAATCAAAAGAATAGTGGGTGAGTTCTCTCGATGAGTCTTGATGATGAAAATATATAATCGGTTGAGTTGGATGAGATAAGGAGCTCTTGAGTGTGGTATTGATTAGTGGGGAATTTGTGAGTCTCTTTAAGTGAGTTTAATAGTTAAGTACTAAAAGCCAGGTTAGAAGTAAATCTTAGGAAATTTAGGTTCTTAGTGACTGAGAAGGCTATGAAATATTGCTTAATTAGTTGTGACTGGTTATTATTATGATTAAATTAATTTTACTTGAATGAATATGGATTTGCACAACGAGGACAAAAAACAGAAATAAGCCAAAATTATTCAAGGGACAAAGACATCAAAACTGAAAAACAAAACAAAAACAATTTGCGTGGGGACAATAGGTTGCTCAGCAGCCACGCACCACTTTCATTTTGTTAAAACTGGCTCTAACTCGGATCTTTGTAAGGGGTCCATGACAAAATTTTATGTCAGGGAAAAACGAAAAAAAAAAAGCTTAGTGTCATTTTTTATTACCAAATAATATTGTGTAAAAGTTATGTAAATGTCGCATGTTACTAAATAACATTATAATCCATCATTTGTATATATTCAATGAGAAAAAAATGCATCAAAATCATTCAATTCTTGTACAAATATTCTATATTGATTATCAAATATCATTCTCTTTTGATCATTTAAAAAAAATATATCATTGGGAGTGTACATCAGAAATGCGTGAACAGGAATCTCGAGGAGATCAACAAAGAAATACAACTTGGAAGGTTCACAAAGACCCAATGACCTACCTGCGGAAGACTAAAAGCCCCAATGGTAGAAGACCAAAGGGCTTATTAGCGGAAGATCAAGGGATCTAGTTGACTAAACTAAAATGGGGCTATAGGGTGATTGAATGCAAATTTTTTGAACTATGGGCCGAAGCAAGTCGAGTTAGGCAGAAGTATTGACATGCCTCTCCCCGCAACCTAATTCAAGAGAAAAATTCAACATTACCAACCACCTCATATAAGCCCTACAGAATTCTTCAAGGAGGGCCAAGGATTGTTAATGACATGATCCAAGAGCATCCCGATAGACCCTCTCGTCGAGATATGAGCTACATATAGACTTATGGTGATTCATCCTATACCTGATAGCCTAGTCTCACCCGTCGGCTGGAGATCCTCATCTAGGGATCAGAATTCAACAGTCGGGGTGGGATAGTCGGTTGGCGAAATCGAGCCAACTGAACCAAGTCCTACAAACCAGAAGTCAGTTAAAGGTCGACCGACAATATCAACTCAACATAACCAACCAAGGATTCCTTATTGCATCGAAGCCTGCCTAGCTCAACCCACTAAGCTAGAAGGTAGAAAAAGTGTAGGATTATACTTGTAAAATATCAAATACTTTCATTAAAGCAGTGACAAGTATATGGGTCTGTTTGGGGCAGCTGCAGCTTATTGAATAATCTGCTGATAAGCTAAGTGCGGCAGCTATTACAAATTTTTATTTTTTTTGAAAAAGCTAGAATACAGCCAGAAAGCTGTCACCGCACCTAAACAGGTGTGGTGTAAAATCGTTGTTTTTAGCGTTTTGAAAATGCATAAGCTACCAAAACGCAGTTTACCCAAACACCCAAACAAGTCAGATGCACAAGTCAGATGCGTTTTCAAAATGTCACCACACCAAATAAACTGCCCCAAACGGACCCTATAATTACACATATTATACCACCTTCTAAATAAAGGAATTATCTTTTGAGAAATGGCTAATCAATATTTCGTATTATTGTTCAATTCATGTGCATTCACCTCTCTCTCTCTCTCTCTCTCTCTCTCTCTCTCTCTCTCTCTCTCTCTCTCTCTCTCTCTCTCTCTCTCTCTCTCTCTCTCTCTCTCTCTCTCTCTCTCTCTCTCTCTCTCTCTCTCTTCTGTCTTATGCTCTAATCTATAGATGTAATTCACGGACAATTTTGAATTCAACTGGGAGAATTCCTCTAGCTTGTAATTTATATTTCTTATCGATGTGTCTCAAGACGTACAACAAAACTAAAATAATTTGCAAGGACAATAGAAGCCACCTCATAATACGAACAAACGTCTAATATTTCTGTAGCGTAGTTCCGAATGTCTTACTTTGGCATATTCATAGTTTTTTTTTCCACGCAATCATAATTTTGATAATTGTCTCAAAAATAAAAAAAATGGGTTCACATACCTAACAACTAAATTTTATTTATTACATGTCTATCACCCAAATAGTTCATATCAAATAAAAAAATTATTTCATTTTAACTCTTATAAAAAATAAAATACACATTTTTATGCATGGGTGGATTGGTTTGCATGTGATGTTTAAGCGTCCTATATGAAAAAAATAAAAACAGAGGGATGGAGTGACATGCTAGTAAAAAAAAAAAATCATATTTTGATAAAATCATTGAAATAGTTATCTTTATAAAATATTAAAAAGCAGTAGACATATATTCCGAGTCAACAATAAATGCTTTGTCGGGGGATCCCATGCATGTGGCATGTGGGTGTGGCCGAACGGTGGGCTTGGACCGTGCCCGCGTCGCCATCGGCCAGTGCTGCTTTCAATGTATACGGGGAAGCAAAGGATATGGACCGAAATCCTTTTGTCTATGGTGGAATTTGGGAGATGGAGATAGTTTACCGATGTGCCCGGTGTGCCGCGGGACATAGACACTTGGTGCATCAGCCTGTCTAATTCCACCCAAATGATTTGTCGGCCAAATGGCTGGAACATTGCAGTCTCAACGAGCTCAAAATCACTGTGTTTTCATTCTCTTAATGGTTGAAGGGTGTTTTCATACATGCAACATAATTTTTATATATTTATATTTCTTTAAGACTAAATATTCATATTTATATGCATAAAACTCAAGTCTTTATCATGGTATACAAAATGTTGCGATCACAATTTTTTTTTTAAGTGCAATATCGTTTTTAAGTGCATAGATCTATGGCACCAAGTGTAAATATTAAAATTTGGGTGTTGGATGGGTGCATACATGAGAATTGAGAGGCATGTAGGCAAATTTCCTTTTTTTTTGTTTGTTGTATTTATTTTTTGGAAGATTTACATGCGCAGCACAATTTCTATGTATTTACATATCTTGCACCTAGTTTTTTTTTTTTTCATATTTATTGCTATGAAAAGTATAAAATATAATGCTTGTATGATGGAAAGATTGATGTTAGATAACCTGATTAAAGGAGATCTAATTAGATGATATTTTTTGATACTAGATAACCTAAATAGAGGATATCTAAGTATATGATTTTTTTTTAATATTTGAAATATTCTTAATTTATATGTCATAATCTGCTCTTATTTATATAAGGGATTAGAGCTGATTTTTGTGTGTAGGGTTGTAACCATATTTTAGTCATTTTTCTCTTTCTTCTCACATGTTGATAGTCGAATAACCTCTTCATGTGGACATAGGAGGATTTGCGTCGAACCACATAAATCACACTATGTTTGATTGTTTGTTTATCGTGTGATCTTGTTTTATTTATTGTTTAGCACAAACAACTTTGTATCAGGGTCTGGTGTGATTCCAGCAACAAGTAACTGGGATTTCGATGAAGTTGCGGACATAAGGGATACAAATCTGGTGGATTCGTGGATTATAGTATGTTTTCATGTACTTCAACATCTACTATGATGGCGAAAAAGATGTTGATTCAGCAGCTGGTCATGCATTCTGTCAAGATCGATGTGATGAGATTTGATTACAATGAAAACTTTGGTCTGTGGTGATGTGAGGTGATAGATGTATTGTGCTTTTTGAATATGAAGGAAATTCACGATAGTGATGAACGCCTTGAAGAGACATCAGAAAGAGATTGATTAAAGATAAATCAGTGTGCTTATGACTTGATAAAAAATTACTTATCTTATGAGATCAAATATATAATGATGTTCGAGGTTTCTACAAAAAAATTCTGGAGAATGTTGGACAAATAACTCACGAAGAGCGTAGAGAATAATCTCCATATTAAACAATGACTCTACTTGTTTTAGATGAGACGTGGGGTTATTATTGATGAACCCTTGAATGATTTTACAAAGTTTTTTGTAAATCTGTTAAATCTTGATGAGAAGATTGGAGATGAAGACAGGACACCTCCTTTATTGAATTTGGTTCTAAATGAATGCGAAAACTCATGATATCACTTATTCATGGGAATGAGATCTTGAATTATGGAGAGGTGAGTATGACATTATTAACCTTGAGTTTCATTAAAGGTATAAGAAGTCTACAAAAATGGAGTTGGCTGATGTACTTACATTCTAACATGATAGATCTGAGAAGAAGAAAAATTGACAAAGAAGAGTAGCTGCAACTTTACTTCTTATTAGTGGGACAAGCTAGGGAAAAATCATTTTGCTTTCTGTTTAGAGACTGGTTGCTGGAAAAAAAAAAGAATTACATGAAGTTTAAGGAGAAGCAAAAGAAAGTTTCCTCTGAGGAGAAAGTTAATATTATTGTGAAGTGTGACGAAGTAAATTTAGATGTATCATTATACATAGTTTTTCATAGTTTATATATAGATGATTTGTGTGAATTAGACACAGATGCCACTTGTCTTATTTTTTTCTCATCGAAAGTGGTTATATACTTATAAGAAGCTTGATAGTGATGCAATGACTATAAGTAACGGTCAAGCTTGTCATACTATTAGTGTAAAATATATCTTTATCAGGATGCATCATGGCACTGTAAGGGAGCTACTTGATGTTAGACATGATTCGAA